CATCCTGAGCCTGCAGACTGCCTGCCCGCCTCCCTCCTGTCCTCCCGGGGGCCCCGACATGGGCGCAGGGCCCAGTGTCAGCTTTGTGGCTGGGGCTGGGAGCTGGGACCGATGGTCTCCTTTACCGCATGATCCATCAATGAAACTGTGGCCCTGCCTGCCGCCTCTCGAGCCCAGATTCATTTACAGCATGGATTTGCTTCTCAGGCAAAATTTGGGGCCAGTTAGCTGGACTGAAGGGCCGTTTTTCAATTTAATCCGAGTAAACGTCCAGCTGCGACAAGGACACAATTATCCTGCGTGAGGAGTCATTTTTCAACTGAACAAACATCTCCCCTTCACCTTGAGCCCCCCTCTCCCCAGCCGCACTGTCGCTGCTGCTTCCGGTCATGAAGGCGCTCACGGGCTGGGCCAGGCGATCCTGAGACTGCACGAAAGCACCATTTCCCACTGTTTGTTTGTGTACTGATCTGCTGTACCGGGATTGGACCCAAGGGTGCTCAGCATAAGCTACACTGCACCCCAGCCTGTCCACAGTTTTTGTCTTTTTGAGACAGAGTCTCACTATTGTAGTTCAGGCTGGCCTTGGGCTCACTGTAGCTCAGCTTGGTGGGAGCAACGATGCTCCTGCAACGATGCTCCTGCCTCAGCCTCCCGAGTGCCAGGATTACTGGTGTGGACCATCACACCTATCACTGTCTCCAGCACAGAGGACATCGAAGCAGCTGGGACCTCCTGGTGCCCAGAGGCAGCACCCCCTGTCTGTCATCCGCAGGCCGAGCCCTGCAGCTCTGGGTGGTGACTGCATCCCTGGCTCCACATGGGGCTCCTGTACCCAGCAGGTGAGGGAGGCGGTGACCTCAGTGGGGCCCGGAGAGGAAAAGCCAGCAGAGGGACCGGGCAGGGGCATGTGGTCAGTCCATCCCAGCTGGATGCTGCCCCCTCAGGGAGGTGATGAGCACAGCTGGACGCCACGCTAGAGAACCCAAGTCAGGGACACGGCAGGTCCTGGGGTGCAGCTCCAGCCCCAGGCCCTTGGCACGAGGAGGAGATGGGGGCACGGAGAGGAGCCCAGGCTGCCTCTGTGTGCGCCAGGTGGGAGGAGCCATGTGAAGCCTCCATTCCAGCCGGTGTGACAGCTGGGGTCAGCCATCCTCGATGTCCCTCCATGTGTGGTCACCATCCTCAGGGGCCATCTCCCTGTCTCCTGCACATCTGAGTCTTTCCCCCAAGCCCCAGTGGCCCCGGATGGGACGCGGTGGAGGGCGGCACAGCAGCCGGGCAGAGGCCGGCGGGGCTTCTGCCTTGGTGGGTGGCCTCGTGGGAGGGTGGACAGTACGTCCTGGGCACCTGCTCTTTCTCAGTGGCTTGCGACCTGAAGCTCTGGGGAAGGGGGCTGACAGTAGCCGGTGCCCTTGGCTTCTCTGCCCAGGACTGAGGAAGCTGCGGAGGTCTGGTGTTAGGCAAGAGCTTCCCGGGGACCTCTGTGAAGCTCGTCTTCTGCGCCATGAGCAGCGGCATGCCTGGCATGGGAAGTTTACCGAGTTTTCCAAGGCCTCGCCGCCGGCCCCAGGCTGCACAGGGTTAGGGTTAGGGGCCTTCCTTGTAGTTCTGCTTTTAAATTTAATTCCTCATCTTCCTATTAAGCTGTGCTGTGTTACTCCTGTTGGGCATTTGTCTGCTGTTGGCTGGCTGCAGCACATCCCAGAAGAGGTTAAGAGCCCTGCAGAGGCACGGGCGGCTCCCAGGTGCAGCTGTAACGCCCGGCGCTGCTTTGAACACAGGTGCGCATGGGTCGCTGTGACGCGGTGACCATCACTCTCCCGGGGAGACACCTGGAAGGTGTACGGATGGGTAGCATGGGATTCCCAGGCTCAGGCTTCCGAGGAATCTGCACACTGATTTCCGCAGCAGCTGTGCTCATCCGCCCCCACCAGCAGTGCAGAAGGGAAGCCCAAAATATAAACAAAAACCAAAACAGAAGGTGGGTGGTGGGAGGCGGGGAAGAGGACCTTCTCCAGGGGGACGGGGACCAGGAGACGAGGGAGGGAGGGGGCGGGTGGGGAGGGACGGAAAAGAACCAAGCTTGTTCTGTCCACGCGCCAGCTCCTCACACGGGCTGCGATCACAGACCATGAACAAGCCATGAATGAGGAAAGGCTGTGTGACGTGGTTCCCTTCTTCTCATATCAGGGGAGAACTGGCCCCTCGGAATGCACTTGAGGCCCCAAATGCTCAGAAAACCCCGAGCCGGACACCGGAAGTCCCTCCAAGCTGCCCACTTGCCACCTGCTGCTCTGTGTCCGAGGACGCTGCCTGACGCTTTGCACAGTGCCGTGACCCAGGGCGGCTCCCGAGGTTCTTGGGGTGAAGGACGGGTAAAGAAGAGACAGAGCTGGGAGGAAAGGAGCTGCTCAACTCTGCAGCACCTTTATTTATATACTGGGAAAGATGATGGCATTTCAGCCCCTCTGCCCAGCAACTTGTTTTCCTGGTAGCCCTGGTCCCCTGCATTCTTGGTGCTGGAGCAGCTGGTTTACAAGCTTGCTTTGCTCTCTGTGTTTTCTGGGCTGGCCTTGCTGTAGCCCTACACATGTGTTCAGTCTCCAGCTCAGCGGCTCCGCACAGCACAGCAGGGGCCGAGTTGCACATTCCAGGAAAGCAGAGCGTTGATGTCACGAGGCCTCGAACCCCAGCTGCACGCCAGGCTGCAGAGACATCTCCGGCAAGATCAGGGATGATCAGGGTAAAATTCACCCGCCCCAGCAGCTTGCAGACAAGGGATTGAGTGCGACTTTAGTAATGGCCTCCCCTTGCCTTCAGGACAGCAGTCCTGGCTTCAAGGAGGAGCTCGCGCTGCCCATGGGCCCAGTGAGGTCTTGGGTCCTCCTAGGGGGTCTGTTTTTCCCAAGCGTCTGAATGTCTTATGCTCTTGAACTGAGTAGGATAGAAACCAGGCACTTGCATCCCCTAACTGATGGTAGCCTGTGTGTGGTCACCCGTCTCCGAGGTGCCAGAGAGTAAACATTTTAGGGTTTGCAACCCGACAGGTGTGGGACGCATGGTAAGCAGTCGCTTAGGACCATTTAAACGGGTATGTTTAAGAATGTGGGAACCATGGCCAGCTTGTGAGGGGCATGGTCACACAGTAGCTCACATGTGGCCTGTGGGCTGCAGGGGTCACTACAAGTCTGGCCTCAAAGTGTCTGCCGATCCTCATGGGATGGAGCCTCTTCTTGGGCATCTGCTGCCTATGTCTGACCACTGTTCACTGCCCCCCTTTCACTGACAGCTGAGTTTCCGGTGACACGCCACCCCCACCTGCTCCCTGTGAGCTTCTGCACCTGTTCCAGGGTGACGGGTTTCCGGCCTGGGTCCGCAGGGACTCGCAGTTCTCTGGCTGCAGGTCGGGTGCGTGCCCCGAGCTACGCCAGTGGGCTCTGCAGAATCAGCTGGGAGATCTGTGTGACTGACCAGCAATGAGGCGTCCATGAGGGGTCCTGCTGAGTGTGACACTTCTAGGGGCCACCCGGAGACGCTAATTGGGGGTCACAGAGCTGTAGCAATATCAGCAGTTTGCCCTGGCGCCGAGCACCTAAGGTGTGTGGGGCTGGATGCACAGGAGGCTGCTGAACACCCCGTGCCGGCCCCCTAAACAAGGCTGCACAGCAGATCAAAGTCCCCATAGGCCACGCAGGCTCACTGGAGTTCCCGGAGCACTCACTGCCTTGGGTCTCTAAGAGTTTCAGCTCGGAGGGGTTTAAAACCCAGAGAATCCAGAAAAACCCATTCCCTAGATTGCAGCGGAATTCTGACAAGGGGCTCACTGTCAAGGTCCTGCTGTGGCACGTTGCTAATGTCTCCAAGAGGGAAGGAAAGCACGATCACAACCAAGCTGGTGGATATTCGGTAACATCAGACTCCAGGTGACCCATGGGCTTTTGCACATGAGGGTGACGGGCAGCCCCGTGCTGACCCAGCTCCGTCTTCCTGGGGAAGAGGGGGCCAAGATGTGGTCACTGTCAGGCACAGCAAAGACGGGAAGGAGCCGGAAGGACCCTCAGGGACAGCACGGCACAGAGCCCCTGCCATCGAAGTGACCCAGTGCATCCAGAGGTAACTGGTTGCTTTAGTCCCTGAGGTTTTGGGTTCTTTGTGTGGCTGGTGTAGCCTGCTCAGCTGACTAACACACAGAATCAGCCCCCAAGTTTCCTTATTGAAAAGAAACAGAAGATCCGGAGAGACTTAAGAGGAGAAAGCCAGGGACAGTGGCTCTGGGGGACGGGGACATGGCAGAGGCCACGGTGGTGTCCACAGAATCACCGAAGCCAGCAAGGGCTGAGATGAGGCGTGAAAGGAACACTTTTGGGGTGCAGCGGGGGACCACAGCTGGAAGCAAGCTGCAGCTCCTGCCCCTGAATTCAAGAGCAGAAGAGAAAGAGATGCAGAGACCAGCAGAGGGGGCCCTGCGTAGGGGCAGGGCGGGAGCCGGAGGGCGGGGAAGGGGGATCAGAAGGGGGGACCGTGGGCACAGTTGTTACAGCCATCCCCCTCCGTTATTTATAAATCCTCCCTGCCCGCCGGAGTTTACACCCTAACAAGGAGTCGGGGACGCGGCTGAAATTGCTTTCCAGCCCAACCGGCACGGAGACATTTTTAAACTACCCTGGACTGAGCTCTGGTTCTGAACACCCCGTAATACTTTCATGCTCTTGAATGGTTTTACGCTGTCGTGTTATGTTTGATGCTATAGTATACGAAGTTATACTCAAATATTTCAAGGAAAGAGACACTGTGGTAGCTACTGTTATGTCGGGTTATCTTGTGGTGAAACATTGTGTTGCTTAAATTGTTTTGTTCTGACCTGTGTCGTTATGCCCTCTTTTATCTTAATCTTTTTTTTTTAATTAAAAAAAGAAAACAAACATAAAGAACAGCCACCACCAACATCCCTGTAGAAAGGAAGGGCACCGGGCGTGGCAGCTGACGCCTCTCCTTACCATGGCGAGGGGCACGATGCCCACCAGGTCCTTCTGGCTGATGAAGATCTCCGACACGGCAACCTCGGAGGCGCCCTTCCGCGGGTACTCCACCTGCCAGGCGATGGGCTGCGTCCCCGACAGGCTGCTGAAGCTGGCGATCTCGAAGTTCATCTGCGCCACCTCGCTGAACGAGCTGCTGCTTCTGGAAGACACCACAGGAAGCGGCTCTGAGTGACCTCGCTGGGGAGACCCTCGCCCTGCACCCTGATGGCAGTCAAGGCAGATGAACAGCCTGAGACTCCTCTGGGGCAGCTGCAGGAGTGCAGAGCCCCTGGGCCTGGTGCCCCTGTGAGTGCCTGTCGCCAAGCCAGGGAGCAGCTGGGACTCAGCACCCACTAGCCAGGGATCCCGGTGGGGTCTTTGCACTGAGCATGAACCAGCGTGGGCATCGTGAGGCCTTGGGTGAGTTTCTATCAGCCTACCCGCTCCTCTCCTTCTGCTCCTGCTTCTGCTCCTCCTCCTCTTTTGTTCTTTCTTCTTGTGTTGGGGATCACACCCGTGGCCTTCTCACTGAGCTACATCCCCAGATCTTTATTCATGAACTTTTTAATATTTTCAGTTTTGAAACAGGGTTTGCCAAGTTGCTACATTGTCTGGGTTGGGCTTGAATTGTAACCCTCCTGCCTCAGCCTCCCAGAATGCTGGGATTACAAACCATGCACCACCATGCCCAGCTTTACTGGCTCTTCTGACAAGGCCTTTGTCCAATCTGCCTGACACAACATGCACCTGGCTGACCTCTGAGCTATGAGGATCCCTTCTTGGTCCAACTTCACAGCGATTGGCAGGCACTGCATGTGACTCTGGTAGCTGGTCCCCTCTCCTTGGGGTGCTAAGGTGCATGCACCCCCTGCCCAGCCTCCCATGCAGCTAGATGCAGGCTGGCTGCAGAGGCAGGGGTGGCAGCCACTGTGAAGAGCTCGGGGATTCCCTGGCAAGCTGAGAACCCTAGTTTCTGGCAGCGGCTGTGTGTGGGTTAGGCCCTCGTACCAGGCGATTGGTGTGTGTGCCCGTGCATGCATGCATGTGGTTCCCCGATGCCTTCTGCAGGAGCTGAGAGCACTGTTCCTGGCCGGAGGTTACCACACCAGCCCAGCAGGTGTCCCCGGCAGGTGGCCGAGGCAGGTGTCCCTGGAAAGTGTCTGCACCACATCTGCCCTGCAGTGAGAGCTCTTTCTCAGGACCTTTAGTGAGTGGGACCGGGTGTCTGCACCTAAGTCTCAGACCAACACCACACAGCCCTGCGCCCCGGACCTGGGTTCTGCAAGTGCAGCCCTGTGGATTTGGGAGCGAAGGGTGGCCCAGACTTTTCAGCTTTTGGATGAAGAAATGAAATCCCAGGAAGCAAAAGCAGCTGCCCATGGCCTCCCAGGTACTGAAGGGCACAGGCAGCCCGATGCAAAGCCCCGGCACTGCTCAGGGCCAAGACCCACAGGCCCCACCTTGGTGGCTGCTGGCCGCCTCATATCTCAAGACACTGAGAGAGGGCAGGGGACAGCACGCTGCCTGGGGAAGTCACACTGTATCAGAGCACAGCCCAGTCTGCTTGTTTGCATTTTGTCTGCAGCTGCCCTTGTGGGCCAGAGCATGAGTAATCGCACCCGGCAGCGTGGCACCCGCGAGTGCTGGGGTCCTCTCCAGACCTGTGCGGGGGAAGCCCCTGGCATTTGCTGGGCAGAGAGGAGGAGGTGGCCGGGCTGGCAGCAGCTGTCAGAATAAATTGGAAATAACACACAGATGATGCTGTTGGCCCAAAGCTGGCTTTGTAAGGTGGGCCGGTGTCCTGGGAGCTGGAGGACCTGGCTAAGGTACCTGGGGTGCCCCTTTGTGCCCCTGCAGGTGGGGCCCCCATGGTGGCCCCATCTCTTGCTGGCTTCTCCCAGGAAGGCCACCTATTCCCAGGCAAAGCAAAGCAGTTTCCCATCACACTCGGGCAAGCTTAAAAACAGCTTTCTGTGGGCCGGTACCGATGTGGACAGTGGGGCAGAGCCCTGCCTTTGGCTGGGTAATTCATTATCCGACCTGGGACTTTCTCAGCAGCAGGTGATCGGAGCCAAGCCTGGCAGGAATAACCCAGCCCAGGAACCCAGAACTCTCCCTGAAGCTTTCTGAGCCTGAGGTGGGGCCCGGAGGACCAAGGTTTCTGAGACACCAGGGAGCCTCCCAGAAGGGGAAACTGAGGCAAGGCCTGGGCTGCCCATCCACAGGCTGCTAACTATGAGAGTGCATTTCTGCTCTCGGGAGACGAGGCTCCAGGGTCAGGAGTGTCTGCACTGGGAGGCCAGTGCTGGGGCACAACAGCCAAAGCTCTCATGAGCTGGGGCTCAGCTCTGCTTGGGGTGCCTCCCCTCATCCCCGGGGTTCCATCCTGTTCTCCCAGCACAAATGCCAGGTCCGGTACCTCCTTAACTATCTGGCTCCTGACTGGATGCTGGGGTCTCCGGTCAACTACTCAACCATCGCACACGCAGGTGGCAAGGACCCAATTGCCACAGATGCCCTCTGGAAACCAAGCAGGTGTCCTCTCTGGTGACCAGCCTTCCCCTGGCCAAGGGAGGAGGGCTGGGGGCAGGAGCCCTGCACCTCCTTCTCCTTCTCCTCCTTTTCCTCCTGTGGCCCACAGCAGGACCACGGCTGAGGCTCTCGTTTACACAGAGGCCCTCCCGTCGCAGCACTCAGGATCCACTGGAATCTGCTACACCTTCAATGGTGGATGGAGGGGGGACCCCGAGGGTGCCGATTCCAACATGCCACAGTGCTCAGCCAGCCCAGACACCCACTCATGAGCCAGCCAGCTTCCTCCAGGGTCCAGGGTGGGAGAATTAGAATCCATCTCCAAGTTGGAGGAAAACCCCAGCTTTCAAGGAGCTGGGTGGAACTCCCCATCTCCAGGCTGCCCCTTGTACCACGGGGCACAAGCTTCTGAGACGCTGACGTCACGCTTCAGGGAGCTGAGGCTCTAGGCAGAGAGAGAGGAGAAGTTGTTCTGTGTTCCGGGGACCCCAGGAATGTGGGTGAGATTAGAGGCCCAGCGAGGCCACCCTGACACAGAATGAGCCCGGGTCGCCTGTGCACAAAACGTGCTGACCTGAACAAGGCAGATTCAGAGCCCACTGCCTGGTTTGCTGACTTCTGTGAGTTCATCAGCTCTCCTGCCCCCATCCCCAGCCCCAGCCCCTCGGCCTTATCTTCCTCCTCCTAACACGTGCACATGGATGTCTCCAAGCCACCGGGAGGGAACTGTGTCCCTGCTATGTCAAGCTGTCCCTGCTGTGTGCTCAGCGAAGGGAGTGGAATCGGGGCTCCCTGTAACAACACCCTGGGATCTTTATGTAAAGCTCTTGACCTTCCAGACACGGTGTAGCCCAAGGCCTATTCTGCAGCTTGGCTTCCTCTGGTTTGTGACCCAAGGACTGCGGCTCCTCCTGCCTCTGCCTCTCTACTAAGATGCTTCCTCTGAGCCTGGGGTGCTTTTCACACAGTCCGTGACCCTGAGGAGGATGGGCTGCCTGGGCTAACAATGACACAGCATGGTCCCGACTACCAGAACACTCTGAGGGTGCACAGTGATAAGTGGGGGATGGGGGTTCCCCTGATGTCTGGGAGACTCAAAGGCCCCCAGGAGGGGTTTCAAAGTGTGGAAGAGAAAGGGAGCCATGAAGAAAAAACTGGGAAGGAGCATGGACGAAGGAAGGGAGAGGAGGAAGGAAGGAGAGGAGCAAAAAACTTAGAAATTCAAAATAACGCTACTGCACGGCTGGGTCCATGCTGGGAGCTTTCTGACAGACTGTTACAGCTTGTGTCTAGATGTCCCCCCCCCCCAGCCTCATGTGCTCATGGTGGAGCTTAGGGAGCTGGCTGGACCTAGGGTGTGTGATGCTGGGATTAGGGTGTGGGTGGCACCAACCCCAAGGTCTGTAGCCCGCATAGGCACTGCTGATGGTTGCTTCCTGCCTGCCTGCCATGGGCCATTTCTCCTCTGTGATGCCCCTCTGCTATGCTGCCCTGCCTCCAAGCCAGGCAGCTGTGGACTGAAACCCCTAAAAATTGTGAACAGAAATAAAGCTTTTCCCTTTCAACTAGTAGGTGTCAGGTATTTTGTCCAAGCAATGAGAAAAGTAACTAAAACAGACAAATCCTGGCCTCCTGAACTGCTGACAGTGTGGGCAACTCTGCCTCATTTTTTCCTACTTGAAAAACAGGCATGACCAACCCTTCCCAATTCATAGCATTAATTGCAAGGGTTCAATGAATGAATGCATCAGAAGCACCTGGAAGAGAACCTGTGACCAGAAATCATCAACAAACATTAGTTTTTCTTGTATTTCAGAAGACAGGACTGGGCTCCCCACAGGACCACGAGTGGCTGCAGGGTTGGCTGGCAAATCCCCCGTGAGGACATGCCATCTGCCATGTGACGTGAGTGGGGCACACTGGGATCTGTGCTCCCCACTTTTACCTGGAGCCTGTCTTCTGGACGGTGTCCTGTTGCAGACGTGGCTGGCAGATAGAGACCAAGCAAAGTGGCAAACTGTGCTCCGCTCTGTCTGTGCCCGGCAGCCCCATCTTCCCGCAGACCAAATGTTTGAAAAGCCTTTGCCTCGAGGAGTGAGTGCGGGATTTAGACACTTAAGCGACTGCAGAGAGCACCCGAGAACCAAGACTTGCTGAAGTCAACAGCGTGGGTCCACTGCAGTAACTCTTGAAAGGAATTTCCAAAATGTGCTTCAAAAAAGCTCCTGTTCAAAGGAGAAATAAGTCTTCCCAATACAGTTTGGAACCCTGTGTACAAATCTTTTGTCTCTTTGGAGTCTGTCTGGTAGGATAATGGAGCCGAGGGCCGTCCTGAAAAGCCAAAAAGGACCTTAACGCCCTCCCACCAGCCCCTTCTCGGGAAGGGGTTTTAGCCTCAGAAACCTCAGCCCCTGTGGACAGCATGTCTTCGCCTGCAGAAGTGGGAGGCACAGGGAGAGAACCTCGTAATGGGGAAGTGGTTCCCAGAGAACAGAGAGCTGTGACCCAGGCTTGCTTTGTTCTCCCCTCCCCGTGTGATTTTCACATGCAGGAGTCCTCCTCCTGCGGGGACCTGGTAGGCGCCCACTGCTGAGCCCGTGGAGCTCTCCAAGGTGCTGAAGGGCATTG